ATGGCATGACTTTTATCTTCTTGAATTTGTTGAGGCTTTTTTTAAATGACCTAATATGTGATTTGTAATTTTAATGACCTAATATGTGAACTTGAAAAGAATGTGTATTCTACTCTTTTAGGGTGGAATGTTCTGAATATATCTGTTAAATCCATTCGGTCCAGTGTGTCATTCAAAGCCATTGTTTCCCAGTTGATTTTTCATTTAGATGATCTGTCCATTGATGTAAGTGGAGTATTAAAGTCTTCTATCATTATTGTATTATCATTTCTAGTTCCTTTTGTTTGTTAATAGTTTATGTATTTGGATACTCCATTTTGGGTGCATAAATATTTACAATTGTTAAATCTTCTTGTTGGATTATGCCCTTTATTATTATGTAGTGTCCTTCTTTGTCTCTTGTTATAGTCTTTGTTTTAAAGTCTAGTTTGTCAGGTATAAGTATTGCTACTCCAGCTCTCTTTTGACATCCACTTTCATGATGTATTTCTATCCCCTCACTTTTAATCTACAGGTGTATTTAGGTCTAAAATGAGTCTCTTGTAGGCAGCATATTGATGGGTCTTTTTGTTTTTAATCCATTTTGTCACCCTAGGTCTTTTAATTGGAATATTTAGTCTATTTGCATTCATAGTAATTATTCATAGATATGTATTTATTTATTTATTTATTTATTTTCAATTTTTTATTTATTTTTGGGACAGAGAGAGACAGAGCATGAACGGGGGAGGGGCAGAGAGAGAGGGAGACACAGAATCAGAAACAGGCTCCAGGCTCCAAGCCATCAGCCCAGAGCCTGACACAGGGCTCGAACTCACGGACTGTGAGATCGTGACCTGGCTGAAGTCGGACGCTTAACCGACTGCGCCACCCAGGCGCCCCTAGATATGTATTTATTGACATTTGATTACTCATTTTGTGGTTGTTTCTGAGGATTTTTCACGGATCATCTCCTATCTTTCTCTCTTTCATGGTTTGCTGGATTTCTTTAATGATATATTTGAATTTCTTTCTCTTTATTCTTTGCATATTTATTGGTGGCTTTTTATTTGTGGTTATATAACATCTATATATAGCAGTTTGTAGTAAGTTGATGGTCATTTAAGTTTGAGCCAATTCTTTACTCTTTTCCTTCCCACATTTTAGGTATATAAGGTGCCATATTACACCTTTTTATTCTGTGAGTTTGTTGACTCATTTTTTTAAAGAAATATTTATTTCTACTGTATTTGTGTTTCCTACCTTCATACTGTCACTTTTGAACTTTCCTTTTCCACTCAAAGTGTCCTTTTAAATGTTTTTTGTAGGGCTGGTTTAGTAGTCATGAACTCCTTTAGTTTTGTTTGTTGGGGAAACTCTTGATCTCTCCTATTCTGAATGATAGCTTTGCTGGATAGAGTATTATAGGCTACAGATTTTTTTTCATTTTTCAACACATTGAATGTATTATGCCAGTCTCTTCTGGCTTGGAAAGTTGCTGCTGAAAAATCCCCTGATAAAGTTATGGGATTACCCTTGTATGTTACTGTCTTCTTTTGTCTTGCTGCTTAAAAAGTTTTTTTTTTTTATCACTATATTTTCCCATTTTAATTACAATATGTCTTGGTGTGGATCTGCTTTTGTTGATTTTTTTGGAGGTTCTCTGTTCCTCCTGGATCTGGATATCTGTTTTTTTCCCAGATTAAGGAGGTTTCTTGCTATGATTTCTTCAAATAAATTTTCTTCTCCCTTTTCTCTTTTCTTCTTCTGGGACTCCTATAATATAAATGTTATTATGTTTGATGGAGTCACTAAGTTCCCTAAGTCTGTTCTCATTTTGCATGATTATTTTTTCTCTCTTTTGTTCAGCTTGATTGCTTTCCATTACTCTGTTTTCTAGGTCATTAATTTGTTCCTCTGCTTCTTCCAGCCTGCTGTTCATTGCATTAAGCATGTTTTTACTGCACTCTTCATCTGTGGTTCTTTTTTACCTCACTGATGTCTCCCACTCTTTTCTCAAGTCTATTGAGTATCTTTATGATTATTGCTTTAAGTACTCCATCAGGCATGTTACTTATATCTGTTTCACTTAGACTCTGGCTATGGCCTTGTCCTTTTCTTTCATTTAGGATAAATTTCTCTATGTTCTCATTTTGTCTAAATCTCTGTGCCTGTTTCTCTGTGTTAGGAGAGTCAACTATATTGCCTGTTCTTGAGAGTAACGGCCTCATGAAGAAGAGGTGCTGTAGTGTCTTGCTACGTATTGTCCCTTATTCCCTAGGGCTTGGCACTTCCGGGAATGTCTCCAATGTGTACTGCATGTGCTCTGCTTTTGTGTCCTAGCTGCTTTATCCTTTGGGCTGGTCATTTGCAGAGGTTCTCCTTACCTGCTGTGAGCAGTGATGGGTTCCTGGCCTGACTGTGGTGCATTTTAACTAGGTGTGCTCTTGTCTGCTTATAAAATGAGACCTGTTGCCATGCTGTGGAAACTGAGGCTCCACAAAACTCTCAGGATGGGAGACACAGTGTTGGTAGGGCCTGTCTTCTGGGGGAGGGTCCCACTGTGTTGGGACTGAGGCAAGTGTGACTGGTTTCAAAGGAAGGTTCCAAAAGAGCATGGGGGTGTTTGGTCTTAGTGTAAGCAAGTGAAGTAGTAAGTGTGAGTGCTGTGCTGGTTCCTGTAGGTGGCCCTGTGGTTATGCTGAGGGACAGGTGAGGGAAATGGTGCCTGCTAGTTCCTTTGCTCTCAGAAGGATCTCTCCATGAATGCTGCCTCTCTGGCACACACTCCAAGATGAGCAAATACCCTTGCCACTCAGGTGTTCTTCAGGTCACTATTTCTAAGTTGTGTATCCAGGGGCTGTTTGCCTTGCCTTTTCTCCAAGAGGAGCACCAATGCCTCTGGGCTCTCCTCAAGCCAAGCCTGCTGACCTTTAGGAACTACAATCTTTAAGCCCTGCTGGTGACAAGAACTCAACAAAATTCAATCTGTCTAGCTTTCCAAGACAATATCTATGGGGATTTGTTTTCCCCATGCACTCCCCTGTGTGTTCGTCTGAGGCTCCCTCTCCACTGCAGTGGCACTCTCCATTTCTCTCCCACACCATGTCTCTGTACTTCCTACCTTCTTCAATGTGGCCTCTTCTCTGCCTTTAGTTGTGGAATTTGTTCTGCCAGTCTTCAGGTCAATTTCTGAGATATTTAGGATGATTTGATAGTTATCTAGTTGTATTCGTGGGACAAGGTGAGCCTAGGGCCCTCCTATTCTGCTGCCATCTTCCCGTAAGGAAAAACTTGTGAAATGTTTCCTTGAGCAAAATTTTGAAATGTTTTATGCAGAAATGTATGAAAAGGGTGTTAGGCATACAGGAAAAAGAGGTAGTTAATGGCAGAAGAATCATTAGAAAAACTGAGATTTAGAGATCTCATAGATGAAAAATTAGAAACATTTTTTTTTTTAATGGAGAGAAGATAGTTGGATTCTGGTTAAGGACTGCATGTGAGAGTACATACACTAACAATATCTGCTTAACCACAAGGAGCTCTATGTCTAGTTCTGCTTGATTATGAAATATTATCTAAAACTGGTGCTTTCTTCAGAACCAAATGCTTTTTAAGTATTTGAAGATTGTTAGAGAAAGGGCTTGTATTTTAAGACTCCCAGAATTATTATTAAAAAGTTATTCCTTATAGATCTATTTAGTCCCTAAGAGGGTGTAACACTTTGTTATTTAATCCATGTATGAGTATTTTACTTCCAGGGCTCATCTGCTCTGACCAAATCCATAGAGAGGCTCATGATATAAAATAAGAATGCCATAATAATGTTTCCATTAGTAAGTGGATGCTTTATATCTTCTGTAAAATGGTAATTTTATAGTATAATGCTGGAAATATTTTTTAAACATTAACATTTATTAAATACTAATTTTATTGCTATAAAGACAGATATGGTTAAAAATAGCCACTCACTTTTCCCACTCTGAAATATATATACTAATTTATTTCCTTCTTTTAAAAGAACTAAGGGGGCATCTGGGTGGCTCTGTCAATTGAGCATCTGACCCTTGATTTTGGCTAGGTCATGATCTCGTGGTTCCCTGGTTCGTGCCCCACATCTGGCTCTGGGCTGTCAGCACAGAGCCTGCTTGGGATTCTTTCTCTTCCCCTTTCTCTCTGCCCCTTCCCAATTTGTGCTGTTTCTGTCTCTCTCTCAAAATAAATAAATACTTAAAAAAAATAAAAGAACTAAGCACAAAGTATGAAGTGGGAAGTATTTAGGCATTTGACAAATATGACTTCTTGAAATATTCAGGTTATATATGAACATGAGGAATCTTTCTAATAAAAGGGCAGTTTATTTGTTTGTATCCAGTAGTATTTATAAAACAAAATATATAAATTCAATAATTTATCTAAGCTATCTCTTTCAAAATGTAAAGCCATTACATTTGCTGTTTGATCAAGAGAGAGGAGAAGAAGTGGTGGGGAAAGGAGGAAGTGGGTTAGAGAGTATACACAAGGTCATCATATTTGGGTTAGGAGTTGTGGTAGATTATAGAAATGACCACAGATTCTTCCCATTCCTGTAAACATGTCCCTTTGCAATGTCACCTTTCAAATCCTCTAACAAAAGTTGGTATCTACTCTGTCTTGAAGCTGGGTTGTCCACATGACTTTATTTGGCCAGTTGGACACTGCCAAATAAACGTGTTTGCCCTCTTGCTACATTTTAAGGGGGTTTACCCTCTTGCTACACTTGAAGCTCATAGATCACCCATATGCTGAAGGTATGAGAGGCTGTGTTGAGGAGACCCAAGGTGCCGCAGCCAATAATCTGTCAGGATCTGGCCAACAGCCCAATAACCACCAGTCATGTAACTGAGGCCATCCTTGAACATCCAGCCAGCTTACCTGCCAGTTGATGAAAGAAGAAAGAGAGGCATTATATGTTGATGAAAGTGTTAAACAATTAATAGTATATACTATTTATACCTTTTTTGCTGGCCATTCTTCCTCAGAGGCCCATAGGCAACAGCCATGGTACCCATCTAGAATAGCCTGATCCTGAGCCCCACTTCCACAAGCTTGGCAGCAGCTATGTGGCTCAACCAGATAGCACAGAAGATCTGAAGACCCAAGTCCCAGCAAGCCAAGGTAGGCCACATTGCCCTGTGCCTCGTGTCTGGGCCCATCCAGCCTATAGTGAGGTGAAGGCTGGCAGGGGCTTTGGTTTATGAGTTAAGGGTGGCTGGAATTCACAAGAAAGTGGCATGGACCATAAGGATCTCAGTGGACCCAAGAAGGTGGAACAAGTCCACAGAGTCTCTGCAGGCAAACATGTGGCCCCTGAAGGAGTACCACTCCAAAATCATTCTCTTACCCAAGAAGCCCTCAGCTCCCAAGAAGGGAGACAGTTCTGTTGAAAAACTCAAATTGGCCACCCAGCTGATAGGACCAGTCATGCCCATACAGAATGTCTACAAGAAGGAGAAGGCCAGAGTCATCTCAGAGAACTACAATGGTTCACCAGCATTTGCATGACTCATGCCAATGCCAAGCTCGTTGGCAAAAAGGACCAAGGAAGCTGAAAAACAGGATGTTGAAAAGGAAAAAGGAAAAAATAAAACACCATTGGCAACTTGTGATAAAAAGTACATATATATTTCTAAAACTGTATGCAGTTAACAGCACAACCTCAAAAATATAAAGCACACATTGACAAAACCAAAAAGAAAAACAGGAAAAAAAGAAAAATCTACAATCATAAAAAAAATTTTTAACACACTGGTAGGAAAAGTGAAGAATAAAAAAAATAAAATTTGAATATAACAATTATACACTGACTTAATGGATATCTATAAAGCACTTATTCAGCAACTATAGGATATATCTTCCCAAACCTCCTCTTAGCAAAATTGACCTTGTGCTTGGCTGTAAAACGAGTCTCAACACACTTCAAGGATTAAAATCATATAAAGTATGTTCTTTTACATAGTGGAATCAAGTCAGAAATGAGAAATATAAAGATAAGTTTATTTTTTTCTAAATTTTTATAATGTTTATTTAATTTTTTGAGAGAGAGACTAAGTATGAGTGGGGGAGGGGCAGAGAGCGGGAGACACAGAATCTGAAACAGGCTCCAGGTTCTGAGCTGTCAGCACAGAGCCCAACGCGGGTCTTGAACCCACAAACTGAGAGATCATGACATGAACCAAAGTTGGATGTTTAACCGGCTGAGCCAATCAGGTGCCCCTAAAGAGAAGTTTAAAATCCAATAGGGCTGATCAAAAAGGATTTAAATAATATAACAGAAAGTGAATTTAGAATAATAGTCATAAAATTAATCGCTGGGCTTGAAAACAGTATAGCTGACAGCAGAGAATCTCTTGCTACAGAGATCAAGGGACTAAGGAACAGTCACGAGGAGCTGAAAAACGCTTTAAACGAAATGCATAACAAAATGGAAACCACCACAGCTCGGATTGAAGAGGCAGAGGAGAGAATAGGTGAACTAGAAGATAAAGTTATGGAAAAAGAGGAAGCTGAGAAAAAGAGAGATAAAAAAATCCAGGAGTATGAGGGGAAAATTAGAGAACTAAGTGATACACTAAAAAGAAATAATATACGCATCATTGGTATCCCAGAGGAGGAAGAGAGAGGGAAAGGTGCTGAAGGGGTACTTGAAGAAATAATAGCTGAGAACTTCCCTGAAGTGGGGAAGGAAAAAGGCATTGAAATCCAAGAGGCACAGAGAACTCCCTTCAGACGTCACTTGAATCGATCTTCTGCACGACATATCATAGTGAAACTGGCAAAATACAAGGATAAAGAGAAAATTCTGAAAGCAGCAAGGGGTAAACGTGCCCTCACATAAAAAGGGAGACCTATAAGACTCGTGACTGATCTCTCTTTTGAAACTTGGCAGGCCAGAAAGAATTGGCACGAGATTTTCAGTGTGCTAGACAGAAAAAATATGCAGCCGAGAATCCTTTATCCAGCAAGTCTGTCATTTAGAATAGAAGGAGAGGTAAAGGTCTTCCCAAACAAACAAAAACTGAAGGAATTTGTCACCACTAAACCAGCCCTACACGAGATCCTAAGGGGGACCCTGTGAGACAAAGTACCAGAGACATCACTACAAGCATAAAACATACAGACATCACAATGACTCTAAACCCATATCTTTCTATAATAACACTGAATGTAAATGGATTAAATGCGCCAACCAAAAGACATAGGGTATCAGAATGGATAAAAAAACAAGACCCATCTATTTGCTGTCTACAAGAGACTCATTTTAGACCTGAGGACACCTTTAGATTGAGAGTGAGGGGATGGAGAACTATTTATCATGCTACTGGAAGCCAAAAGAAAGCTGGAGTAGCCATACTTCTATCAGACAAACTAGACTTTAAATTAAAGGCTGTAACAAGAGATGAAGAAGGACATTATATAATAGTGACAGGGTCTATCCATCAGGAAGAGCTAACAATTATAAATGTCTATGCGCCGAATACCGGAGCGCCCAAATATATAAAACAATTACTCATAAACATAAGCAACCTTATTGATAAGAATGTGGTAATTGCAGGGGACTTTAACACCCCACTTACAGAAATGGATAGATCATCTAGACACATGGTCAATAAAGAAACAAGGGCCCTGAATGAGACATTGGATCAGATGGACTTGACAGATATATTCAGAACTCTGCATCCCAAAGCAACAGAATATACTTTCTTCTCGAGTGCACATGGAACATTCTCCAAGATAGATCATATACTGGGTCACAAAACAGCCCTTCATAAGTTTACAAGAATTGAAATCATACCATGCATACTTTCAGACCACAATGCTATGAAGCTTGAAATCAACCACAGAAAAAAGTCTGGAAAACCTCCAAAAGCATGGAGGTTAAAGAACACCCTACTAACGAATGAGTGGGTCAACCAGGCAATTAGAGAAGAAATTAAAAAATATATGGAAACAAACGAAAATGAAAATACAACAATCCAAACGCTTTGGGACGCAGCGAAGGCAGTCCTGAGAGGAAAATACATTGCAATCCAGGCCTATCTCAAGAAACGAGAAATCCCAAATACAAAATCTAACAGCACACCTAAAGGAAATAGAAGCAGAACAGCAGAGGCAGCCTAAACCCAGCAGAAGAAGAGAAATAATAAAGATCAGAGCAGAAATAAACAATATAGAATCTAAAAAAACTGTAGAGCAGATCAACGAAACCAAGAGCTGGTTTTTTGAAAAAATAAACAAAATTGACAAACCTCTAGCCAGGCTTCTCAAAAAGAAAAGGGAGATGACCCAAATAGATAAAATCATGAATGAAAATGGAATGATTACAACCAATCCCTCAGAGATACAAACAATTATCAGGGAATACTATGAAAAATTATATGCCAACAAATTGGACAACCTGGAAGAAATGGACAAATTCCTGAACACCCACACTCTTCCAAAACTCAATCAGGAGGAAATAGAAAGCTTGAACAGACCCATCACCAGCGAAGAAATTGAATCGGTTATCAAAAATCTCCCAACAAATAAGAGTCCAGGACCAGATGGCTTCCCAGGGGAGTTCTACCAGACGTTTAAAGCAGAGATAATACCTATCCTTCTCAAGCTATTCCAAGAAATAGAAAGGGAAGGAAAACTTCCAGACTCATTCTATGAAGCCAGTATTACTTTGATTCCTAAACCAGACAGAGACCCAGTAAAAAAAGAGAACGACAGGCCAATATCCCTGATGAATATGGATGCCAAAATTCTCAATAAGATACTAGCAAATCGAATTCAATGGCATATAAAAAGAATTATTCACCATGATCAAGTGGGATTCATTCCTGGGATGCAGGGCTGGTTCAACATTCGCAAATCAATCAACGTGATACATCACATTAACAAAAAAAAAAGAGAAAAACCATATGATCCTGTCAATCGATGCAGAAAAGGCCTTTGACAAAATCCAGCACCCTTTCTTAATAAAAACCCTTGAGAAAGTTGGGATAGAAGGAACATACTTAAAGATCATAAAAGCGTTTTATGAAAAGCCCACAGCTAACATCATCCTCAATGGGGAAAAACTGAGAGCTTTTTCCCTGAGATCAGGAACACGACAGGGATGCCCACTCTCACCGCTGTTGTTTAACATAGTGCTGGAAGTTCTAGCATCAGCAATCAGACAACAAAAGGAAATCAAAGGCATCAAAATTGGCAAAGATGAAGTCAAGCTTTCGCTTTTTGCAGATGACATAATATTATACATGGAAAATCCGATAGACTCCACCAAAAGTCTGCTAGAACTGATACATGAATTCAGCAAAGTTGCAGGATACAAAATCAATGTACAGAAATCAGTTGCATTCTTATACACTAACAATGAAGCAACAGAAAGACAAATAAAGAAACTGATCCCATTCACAATTTCACCAAGAAGCATAAAATACCTAGGAATAAATCTAACCAAAGATGTAAAGGATCTGTATGCTGAAAACTATAGAAAGCTTATGAAGGTAATTGAAGAAGATTTAAAGAAATGGAAAGACATTCCCTGCTCATGGATTGGAAGAATAAATATTGTCAAAATGTCAATACTACCCAAAGCTATCTACACATTCAATGCAATCCCAATCAAAATCGCACCAGCATTCTTCTCGAAACTAGAACAAGCAATCCTAAAATTCATATGGAACCACAAAAGGCCCCGAATAGCCAAAGTAATTTTGAAGAAGAAGACCAAAGCAGGAGGCATCACAATCCCAGACTTTAGCCTCTACTACAAAGCTGTCATCATCAAGACAGCATGGTATTGGCACAAAAACAGACACGTAGACCAATGGAATAGAATAGAAACCCCAGAACTAGACCCACAAACGTATGGCCAACTCATCTTTGACAAAGCAGGAAAGAACATCCAATGGAAAAAAGACAGTCTCTTTAACAGATGGTGCTGGGAGAACTGGACAGCAACATGCAGAAGGTTGAAACTAGACCACTTTCTCACACCATTCACAAAAATAAACTCAAAATGGAT